GGAGCGGGGCCCTGCCTGCTGCGGGACGGGGAGAGCATCCCTGCGCCGGGCGCCGCCGTCCCGGTGCCCCCGCGCCCTGCTCCGCCGTGCCCGCCTCCCTGCAGCCCGCTCCGCGCTACCCGTGTCCCTGTGTCCCGCTCTGTGACACCCGTGTCCTGCTCCGTGATGTCCGTGTCCCTGTGTCCTGCTCCACGGTACCTGTGTCCCTGCAGCACGCTCTGTGATACCCATGTCCCTGTGTCCTGCTCTGTGATACCTATGTCCCTGTGTCCTGCTCCTTGATACCCATGTCCCTGCAGCCCGCTCTGTGATACCCATGTCCCTGTGTCCTGCTTCACGGTACCCGTGTCTCTGTGTCCTGCTCCGTGATACCCGTGTCCCTGCAGCCTGCTCCATGGTCCCTGTGTCCCTGTGCCCTGCTGCACAATGCCATACCCCTGCAGCCTGCTCTGCGGTGTCCCCCTCCCTGCGCCCTGCTCCGTCATGCCCGCGTCCCCCTGCCCTGCTCCATCACGCCCGCATCCCCGTGCCTTGCTCCCCGGTGCCTGCATGCCAGCCTAAGCAGAGAACAGCTGGAGGTGTTTGTAAGGGAGAATCCATCTCCCTGCTGCTGCTGCTGCCCCTCTCCAGGAGGGTTTGGCTTTAAGGGCACAGACCAGGTCCAGAGCACAGCTGGGTTCACCTGCAGAACCAGGCCAGGCTGCTTGAAAAGCACAGCTGTTGCATTCTCGGGAGGGTAATTGCATCCTCTTGAGGCCCTGGATGCTCTTGCACCACTTTGCAGGCAGACCCCAAGAGCCCCCAATTCCTGCGGCTGCCATCGGCTGGAGGTTTAGCCTCGGTTTCATGGGCAGAGCTGGACAAAGCACTGCTCACCCGCACCGTGGGTTGTATTTTCCCAGTAGTTGCTGCAGCGGATTAGGCAAGAGCAGACTTAGGAGCTGGCAGGAGAGGGCCCCCCAGACTCTCAGGAGCACAGGGCCAGCCAAGGGGCTCTGCTGCTCCCTGGAACAGCAGGAGCTCAGATGATGCACCCACGTCGTTTCACTTGCGAGACCATGGGGCTTCACCTCGTCATTTGAGAGACTAGAAAGGCAGTGACAAAAAACCCTATTTTTTTTTCTTAATCATGAAAAGATTTTCCTTAAGTTATGCGCTTTAAAAGAGGAGTATTAGAATAGGTAGTAGCAACAGGTTGGGGGATCTTCAGTGGCTTTAAAGAGGCTGATTTTCATAAACAACTAAAAAAGGACCAGTATAGACTATCATATTTTCCACTTTTGAAACTTTTTCTGGTATGAAGCAACCATAATTTTACGACCCAGGGGGATACTCTGACCACTTGAGGTAGGGCAATGCTGCTCCATTTCAAAGCGAAAAAACAAACCGCCTGTATTTTAGGCTTGTGCCCTGTGTTTCTTGCCTTCCCCATAGGGAAAGCTCCCACAGCAGTCACGGGAATCCTGTGGGAGGACGGAGATGGCTGGCAGAGTTTGACTTACAGACTTCTGGAGCGGCACCACTAGTCTGGGGATCTGTGATTGTAAGGGCCATATGTGTCCCAGTATAGCCCTGGGAAAAGCCGGCTGGCTGAGCAGCGGGGAGTTACTACGTCTGTGTACGCTGGTGTCCCTGGGATGTCTCCAGAAGGACTGGGGAGAAAGAAGGTTTCTTCACTATATTTTTAAAACTTTCCTGCAGGTCAACAAAGATCTGATTTCCTGCTGGTGGAGATACCACGTATTAATCATTAGAAGATGAAATTTATTGCTCTATTTGGAAGAGAATGGAGGACTGCAGGCTATACATCATCCAAATCCTCCTTACATCCTCAAAGCTGGGCTTGTACGGAGGCTAAGATGGGCTCGGGCGTCTGCAGTTCCCTGCCAGGCTGGGGCTCCATGGGGATTGCTCGTACCGCTGCAGGAGCAGGGTGGGCACGTTGCCGTCCCTCGCTGTCCTGGAGCCAGACCCTCAGCCCCTGCACTACTGCTGAACTCAGGGACCGAGCGAGGTCCCGATTGCGTTTTACAGCGACGCAGTCGATTTGCTGTGACACGAACCCTCCCTATCGCGCAGCCAGGCAGAGCCGTGTGCCCTGCTGAGGGACGGTGACGAGGGGAAGGGGCTGCTCAGCCAGCCGCCCGCCTCGCTCAGCGCTATCGCTGCATGCAAACACGCACAAGACATTTGATATGAAGGGGCAGGAAGGCACCAGGCTGGTTTCTCTCCAGATGCAGGTCTGCATCTCTCCATGCCTCAGTTTCTTCAATCTGCAAAAAGGAAAAGGTGATACTGAGTGCCTCGGTGAAGAGCTTAGAGACCTGCAGGGTCCATAGATTTGAGGTGATTATGCCAGTTATCTCCAACAACTTGGCTTGGAGTTAGGAATTGTCCCGAAGGAGTTTGGGGATGAACCTGCAATGCCCAATCCCACATCATTTGGGAATTTTAGGAAGTTTATTTGCAGCTCCCCGTGTTTGCAGTTTCAGAAGGATGTTTCATTTTGCGTTGCCTCCCCACAAAGCCTCTCCCTTCTCAAGGTTTGATCAGAAAGACTGATTCTTTCTTTAATTGGCATATATTTAAGGTGGGTTTCTTTATTTCTTCCTCCTTTAACTGCTGCCATCCGGAGGCCAACTGTTTTATTTAAATTAGATATTGTTTAAATTAGATATGTTATTGACCTTCTTCAGCCTTGTTTCATATTTGTCCTCTGCTAGAAAATCAAAGCCTCTTTACTTGCGACTCAGTTAGTACTGACTCCGCAGACGGTACATATGACCCTTACAGCACTTTTCTCTGGCAAGAACTTGTATTTTAAAGAGAAGAAGATCAGATTTCAGTGTGTTATGTGGTGGGAAAAGGCAGCTTTACAATGCTGTATGGATTAAGAAATTACAGGCCATTGTTTTGCCCTTGCTGTCGGGAACTGGCAGTGTATTTCATGCAACACAGGTCCCTTCCCTGCCACTTGCCAAGCGATCGTGCAGCCCCCAGAGCCGCAAGAGCATCTCCTGCGTGCCGGGCCAGTAAATCACTGCTGCACCAGTGGCTTGAGTGGGGCAAAGTGGAGGAGGTCCCGTCTTGCAAGGGGTTCACGGGTCCTCTTCCCCTGTTCTTGTCACCCTGCTCTGTTGCCAGCAAGCGTGCTCCTGCCCCAGCCCCTTGCGCTGCCCTCGGAGGGTCGGTGCACACCCGGCGCTGCTCCTCTGACCTTGTGAGCAGGGACCGGCCCCGGCCCCACGGCTCCGTCAGATGTCACTGGCTGGGGACAGATGCCACGTGTTCACACCGCTCTTTTCTCGGTTGCAGGGTTCCCCGCTGAAGGGCGAGACATGCGGTAGGAGCCAGCGCTTCTCACCAAAGAGCGAGACTCGGTCGTGCTGCGCAGCCCAGGGCGCCGCAGGAGGGACGGGACATGCGCCGCATCGGCTGCGTCCTCTTGGGACTACTCTTCATCCTCAGCGTGACCAGCACGGATGGCTTTGCCCAGGCAGGGTAAGCCCCCTTTTTGTCTGCATCTCCCAGGTGTGCGCTGTCACATGTCACAGCGAGTCGCATCCCCTCCCGGTGATGAAGAGCCCTGTTCAGCCAGCCGGCTGCACCGGCATAGGCAGCTCGCCGGGCTGGCGAGGAGGTGGGAAAAGGCTCTGCCGAGTCCTCCGGGGCAGCCGCGGCTTGGCAGCCCTTTGCTGGCGTTTGTTTGTTTTATCACTGAAGCGAAAAAGCCTCTCAGAGAAAATGCCCCAGCTCCATTTAGCTCCATGCAGGGGACACCAAAACACTCTGGGCTTTTTCTCTGGGAGAGTCAAAAGCTAATCAGGCCCTGAGCTGCTCATGAATGATTATTGTCTCTTTCAAGCACATCCGTGCACAAAAATATGCATGCAATCTTGCTATCATGCTAATCAAGCCTTGCCAATGAGCCACCAAAGGAGGATGCAGCCTCCCGGCTCTGAGGGGATGCCCCATCCAGGGGACGCAGGCGCGTGTCCTGGGGATGCTGCAGCGGCTGCGGTCGTGGTCCCGCAAGCCTGGGAGCGGCAGCTCCAGCAATTCCTCTTCCCTTTCTGGGAAATGGGCCCAACACGGTGCCCTGGATCCCAGCACGGCCTGGGCAGGCACAGCTCAGCGCCCGCTGGGTCAGACGAAGCCCAGAGCTCGGTGGCCCAGTTTCTTCCCCAGCCAAAAGGAGCTGGAGCTCAACGCCCACCCCCCAGATACAGCTCACATTTTCTGCAAACTTTGTTTTTACATTGAAATACTCTCCTCTAGCGTCAAACCTTTCACGTGTTGGTCGTGACTAAAACCACGGGCTGAATTCCTCACTCGCACACACGGGCTGCAGCTACAGCTTTAGTCTAATTTTTACAAAGCAAACAATTGCCATTTAAAAATTGCATCTTCTATAGCATTAACCAGTGAGGCTGAGAGGAGTTTTCTGGAGTTAATGGAAGCCATCTGATGTCCACGCTAATTCCCAGGCTTTTTATTCTAGTTTCTAATTGGGCTGGGAGGCTGAGACAAGTAGGCAAGTTCCTCAGTGGGACTGACCTGCTTGGGCTGGAAAATGTTGAAAAAAAGAATTTTTAACCAAGACCACTTTGGCTGTTAACCTTGGGAAAGTTTTTGACTGGATCACAGTTATCTTAGGAAGACTGGAGGGCAACTTTCCTCTGGCCTCTACCTTTTTGTGGTGAGCCTGAGCCTTCCTGTGAAATCATTAATTTCTTGATGGCCACAGGGGCACCTGTTTCAGGAGTGCAAAAGTCTCAGAAAGGAAAAATCCACCCAGAAAGTGAGTGACTTTGAGGGAAGGGAGGTGATGAATGGAAGGAGAACTGCTTTGAGTAAATCCCCCTTAAATCTGCACCCCAACTGCTCTCCCAAGACGGAGGGGCTGTGCCGGGGTGAGCGTACGAGGAGGCATCAGCACCTTCGCACAGGGGCTGGGGAGAAGGAGCCCGTGCAGCCCACGGCGCTCACGCTTTGTGTCGCTGCCCCGAAACAGCCTGAAGTAACCTCCTGGGTCACTTGGGCAATTAGCCGCTGCTCTTTAAGTAGCCCTCTGTAACGAGGGACTGCCAGGCCATGTCCTGGGCTGGTGTAAATTGGTGGAGCCCCTTTGCCCCGAAGGGAGAAGTGTTGGGTTGGTTTTTAGCCGGTGCCTGACCTGTTCCCCTCTCCGCAGCCGCAGAGTCTGTGCCGTGGCGCTGCAGAGCCAGGCGGCCGCCTACACCGAGTCCCACGTCCAGCCCGTCTACCAGCCCTACCTCACCACCTGCCAGGGCCACCGCCTCTGCAGCACCTACAGGTGAGGGCAGCTGCCCGCAGCACGGACCTGGTCCCTGAGAGGGAGCCGGATCCGTCCCAGCGAGGCAGCGACTGGCGAGGGCTGCGGAAGGGGGGAGTCCTGCCTTGAACCATGGGGAAGGGGCTCCCAGCCCCTGGCGGGGGGTGCCAGTGCAGGGGGTCTGACCCACTGGCATGGGAGCGGGATGGGGGGCTTGGGGTGGATTCTCACTCACCCGGCTCAGCCCCATCTTTGCGTTGCAGGACCATCTACAGGGTTGCCTACCGGCATGTGTACAGGCAGCTGTCCCAGCCTGCGGCCTCGTGCTGTCCCGGCTGGAGCAGAGCTAACAGCCATGCGCTCAGCTGCAACAGAGGTAAGAGGCCACTGTGCCACCCCGGTGCCAGCACTTGCCGTTCCCCCAGACCCCATGGGCCGGGTGGCTCAGGTCCCTGGACGAGGCCCCGGCAGCCAGCTCGCTCATTTACTGGCACTCTGCCTGTCAGGCAGATTCTCCCTGTAGGAAAGCATTTAAATTTTCAGCGTCACAACCAAATGCGGTTCAATTTCTGATTAATTCCCAGCCTTTCTCCGCTGCCTTGCAGGCTTTTTCTTTTGGGATTGCTTATTAACTTTATAGTTACCAGAGGATAAATAAAACAAGTAAGTCCTTTCCATATAAATCAGCAGTAATGGAAAAGAAATGCTTTCAGGAGGGAATTGTGATGTACAACACAAAACAAATACAAAACACATCAGCAGCTAGTCCATCCCCAGATGAGCTCAGAGCGCAGCACCAAAGGCTTCCCAGGGCCCGCTGCTGCCCGTTGGCCCTCCTCCCCCTGGCCGTGCCGGCTGCAGGCACCTTGGCCTCTTTCCAGGCTGCAAAACCAAGGTCCTGTTCCTCCCACCCATCCTGTGCCCCTTGCACCCCAGTCAGCTCAACCCCACCGCTCCGGGGCTGGGGCAGAGCATCCTGGCGCCAGGCTGGTGCTGGTGTGTGTTTTGGTGTGTGTGTGTGTGTGTGTGCAGTGTGTGCGTACACACATCCGTGGTGGCAGGGGAGGGAGCTCGGGACCCCCAGAGCTGCCCAGTGACACTGTGCTTGTGTTTGGTCCTGCAGCTCTCTGCTGGGTGCCGTGCCAGAATGGCGGGAGCTGCACCTTCCCCGGGAGATGCGCCTGCCTGCCTGGCTGGACGGGACGAGCCTGCCAGACAGGTACCAACCAGCCGCGCCGCTCCCCTCTGCACTCCCTGCATCGGGCCTGCCCCACCGCTGCCGGGAGAGCTTCTCCGGGGAGCAGCAGGGCTGCCATGGGGCTCTGGAGGCCCTCTGCCCACGGACCAACCCCTTGGTGGGGGACGGGGACCAGCACCGTGGCTCCTCACCAAGCCTTGGTGCGTGCCTGGTGCTACCCAGCCCACAGAGGGGAACCAGCTTGTTACCCCTCCGCACACACCCCCGCTCCCCTACACATGTTGCTCCAGGGCAGTGATGCCTGATGGTCTGGCCAGGAAAGGATGGGAACCTCGGCTCCCAGGGGAGCTCTGACCTCGCCTTGGCTGCGTTGGTTCTCTCAGCCCTTGAGTGTGGCCCTGGCATCCACATTTTCTCTCTGCTGCTGCTCCACGGTGGGTCAGCGTGAGCAGGGTCTGTACTCTGCCGTGACCGTGCAGCCAGCAAAAGGCTTTCTGCAGAGCAGCCGTTAACTTGTGGGGTCAGCCGGAGTTTGTGCATCTCCCAAGCTTTGTAAACTCTTGCTGTAAACTAAGACACCCATTTACTGCAGAGACTAAATCTGTAAACTGAAAATATCCAGGGGTGGAGGGAAAGCCTGGCAATCTCCAGGCACCGAGCTCCTCTCCAGCGTGAGCGCAGCCCGATGCTCCTTGCCGGAGTGCAGGGAAATCAGGCAGCGTGGAGGGCAGCAGTGCTCTGCAGACCCCAGCACGCCAGGGTGGTACAAACCCCTGCCACGGTGTTTCCCGGCTTTCTGCCCTCCTGTAAGGCAGAGGAGGAGCGTGTGGCATTGACCCACGCTGGGCCAGGCAGGGCTGAGCACATCGCTGACAGCTCCGGCTCCAGCACAGAGGGGAAAGGATTTTCCCACTGCCTAAAACAGATTTGCCCGGGCGTGGGAAGCGTTTCAGCTCATTTTGCTTTGTGGGAACAGCTTTAATAACTCCCCCGTGTGAGGAGAGGTTACTGGGTTTTGTACACACTTGAAAGGCTGATAGCTCCTCGCCACGGCTGGCTGGAACCAAAACCCCGGCCATAAATCCAGGATGAGAGCCGTGCGCTGCCTGCACCCGCCCGGCCAGAGCTGGGACATTTCTGACCACAGCTTTTGTTTCTGGCTCTTTTGTGGGGGGAGCGGGCGGAGGGGAGGAGGCCAGATCCCCCTCAGGCTTAGCCCAGGTTTACTCCAGCTGGGAGCAAGAAGAAAGGCTGTCCCAGGCGCTGGCGGGTCGCGTGCTCGCACCCTGCAGTGCTGAGAGCACCCAGAGCTGTGCCCAGCACAAACGCCAGCTTGGTCTGGGGTCCCATTGCATCCTCACCCTGTGTGAGCCCGTGCAGCTCTAGTGAGGGGAGCAGGACCCCTGCGAGCGGGGCTGAGCCGTCCGCGCCCCTCGCCCCGGTGAGCACCTCTCCACCACCACTGTCTCACTGAGCCCTACCTGTGGTTTCAGACGTGGACGAGTGTGCCGGCCAGAACCACGGGTGCCATCAGCTCTGCATCAACATGGCTGGGAGCTACCGCTGCGCCTGCCGGGACGGCTTCAGCCTCGCTGCCGACAACAAGGCGTGCCAGCCCCTGGTGCCGGCCCCCAGGCCAGAAACCTTCAGCCAAGCAGGTAACCTGTCCCCTGTTGCAGGACAGCCCTGGCTGCTCGGGGCCTTCGGTGAAAGCTGGGATTAACACTCTGCATCACAGGGTGGCTGGAGCAGGACTGGCAAAAGACAGGAGAGGGGACAACGGCCAGAACCCCTCAGCTTTATTCCCAGTGACCCAGGAGTCCCAAACAAGCTCCCCTGTGCACAAATCCAGCCACTGTTCCATCTGCAAGGGTGATGGAGCCTATCCATGGCATGCGGTGGCCGGGATGCAGCTGTTCTCTCCATCATCATCGTTGTCCTTCTCGCAGGGCAAGTCCGGAGCCATGAGGAGCGGCAGGCACCGCTGGTGATGGCCCATTATTACTTTTGGTACGCGCTGTGACACTTCAAACTCGTACCGTGAGTAATAATGCGCTGTGGCCAGCACGGGCATCACGCGGGAAACGCCTGGGAGAGCAGGGCACTGTCTGCACGTGCCCCGCAAGCCACCTGCCCTTATCCCGTGTCCGCGGCCCTCAGCAGGGACGATCCTTTGTGCCCACCATGGGACAGAGCAGACCCGGGTGCTAACTAATCTGACAACATGGGCGTGAAAGGCCAGGCTGCGCCAGACGTCTTATCCTTCAAGCATCAACCCACGGCCTGAAAAATTCCCCACTTTGTTGCAGGTACTCCAGCAGCAAGGAGAGGCTTGTACGCATTAGCAGCAGGAACTAGATGCCAGTGCTTGCAGCAGGCATTGGATCTGATTGATGCTCCAGGGGCTGGTCCTGGCGGGGCTGACCCTGGGAGCTCACTAGGAGGGGAGCAGAAAGCAGCAGAGCTTGGCCTGAGCCCTGCAGCGATGTCTCTCCCCAGACCCTTCCACTTCACCTCGAGCAATGGGCTTTTACTCACTGACCTGTTCTTGGTCACTTTTTCAGGTCCCCCCAGTGAAATGAAGGAAGAAATGAAAGACCTGAAGAGCAGAGTGGAAGCGCTGGAGCAGGTGAGCTTTCAGCACACACCTCTGCCCTCGCTGCCCTGCCGCAGCTCGAGGCCGCGCTCAGCCGGCTCCACGCTGGGCTGTTCGCAGCCAGGGTTTCCCTCCGCCCCAGCTCTATTTTTAACGTCATGCTGGCCTCACGCCGCAGAGATCCCAGCTGTGCTCCACGCTGCCAGCAGCACCCACGCAGCAGCTCTTCCAGCCTGGCGGCCCTTTGAACGCCACCAACGCCCCTGAGCCGGCCGGTGTGCCGCCCTGGTGGGGTGCACCCCGGCAAGCAACGTGCTACGTCCCGCTGGGTGGTCCTCGGGGCTGGGGAGAACATGCTCACGGCTCCCCATCTCCCCGTAGAAACTCCAGTTGGTGCTGGCCCCCTTCCACAACCTCATGCCATCGGTGCCGGAGGACGTCGGTGCAGACCCCATCAGCCGGCTGTCCCACTCCCTCCAGCAACTGGACAGAATTGACTCCCTGAGTGAGCAGATCTCCTTCCTCGAGGAGCGACTGGAGACATGTAAGTGCCTGGAAAAAGCAGGCTTGAAGTATTTTACTCCACCCATACAGGCCACGGTGAGCAGATGCGGGCCAGCGAGATCAGTAACACATATGCCACTATTCATCTATATCTCCCTCAAGCTCATCAGCCTGTAATTAATAAAAGATGAACACAAAGAGCCCATTAGCTTAATTTCAAAGCTGTTTCTATGGCTGCACCATCTGACTGCCCTTGTAGCAGCCAAAGATCTTGGCACATGGAAACGCAGCTCTGGGGCAGAAGCAGAGGGAGCCCAGCATGGGCAGTGGGTCACGTCTCGCAATCAGCACCCTCTCCGGCTCTGTTCCCGTCCTGCACTGTTACGGCTTAGTTCTTAGAAAAGAAACCTTGGCTCTTAGGAAATTAACAGTCCAAAAAGTCAATCAGGAGAGCTTAGGGAGCGGGCAGAACTTGGCAGATTTATGAGCTTGGGAAGTATCAGGCATTTCTTTTTGAAGTCTACAGACCAGTCCTTTGCCAACCAGCGGACCAGAGAGGGTCTCCTAAGTAGCAAACTCTGAAGAAGAGACACTGGTGAGAGCTGCCACGTGTGACATGGCTGAAGGCGGGGGTCCTGCCTGGCGCGCTCCCCCGTGGCACTGCCGAGCTGGGCAGCATCCCCTCGGGTCCCCGGAGCACTGCAGCTTGGCTCAGAGTAGAGGACAAACCATATCAACACTATTTTGATAGGCAGCTCCTTGCAGCTCGTTTTCCCATTAAACAATTCCAGTCAAACACATCCAGAAACCAGGCACGGCTGGGCCAGCTCCGAAGCTGGCGCGTAGCAGCAGCCTGGTGCTCACGGCAGACGGGTGAGGGTGCTTGGAAAGACTTAAGGGCAAACTGTTTCAGGGCATATCCAGTCCCAGTTCACTGCTTGCAGTAATGGCTTAGATATAAAAGACTTCAAAGAAATTCTCTGAAGACTAAGTAGCTGCAACTAGACACTTAAAAACATCTCAGAAAGGGGTAATCATCAGCACCGCTCAGTGTTCCAGCAGACTGAGTTTCATAGTATTGCCCTGGACATATTATTAGTGACAGCACTGAGGACTGGGAGCAGCATCACAAGGTAACATGGATTTATTCCAAGGGATGACTCCCAAGTCCTGAAACTAACTTCTGCCAAGCCTGTTCCAGCAAGCAAAACTTGTTTTTGTCCCTCTCACGGTCTTGAAAGGCCCTGGAGGACACGAGACTGTCCTTTCGTACTCCAGCAAGCACCGGGGCTTGCAGGGCATCCCATGCCATCCATTTTCTGTGCCTTGCGAAGCATTCACAACTGAATGCTAAGATTGAACTGCACTCTCCCATTACCTGCCCGCTGGGGATGTGTGTAAGGACTAAAACACATTTTCTCTTCTTTAAACCACCACTGAAGGCACAAGGTCAGCTCTCTTTAAGCCGTAACCATTTTAGCCCCTCTAAGGCTGAATTACCCCCAGTTCAGCACAGCCTGTCCATGCTTGGCCGTGACACAGCCGCTTAGCAGCATGACAGACCCACGGCTGGGCAGCAGCCACCCCCTGCGGTCCCTTCCCCAGCCCACGGAGCTCCCTGGGTGTTGGGGACTTCGGTGACCAGCAGCACCTGCTTCCAGTTACCGCCACACAGAGCCACCGGCTGTGTCTGCAGTGGGGACAGGCTGGTCCCAGTGGCTTTCCCCCCACCTTGGGATGCTTTGCACAGGACTTCCCAGGCCCAGGCGAGGCTGGCGAGGACCGTGGCGTGCCAGGGAGTTGAGAGTGACGCTCCCAAATGTGGCGGGACGGAGCCAGCCTAGGGTTGTTTGGCAAAGGGAAAGCAGCAAATGTGGGTGACGTTCACAGGGGTGAAGTCAACCTCATCCTTCTTGGGGAAAGAGACAAACCAAACCCAGGATAACAATATTGCTGGATTTTTTTTTTTATTTTTTCCCATCTTCCCAGGTTCCTGCAAGAATGAGCTCTAGCCGAGCACCTGAGGAATTGGAGCAAGCCGAGTGCATCTGCAGCTCTTATCTCACTCTCCAGCCCCAGGCTGGGGACGAAGCCACATCATCTACAGGAAGGCACAGGGTAGCAGGAGAAGGCTGGTTTCCCATCAGCGTCTCCATCATTTTCTCTTCCAACTCACCCTATCAAAGGTCACGCGGTTACTTCCAAACTGGACTCCAAGCCCTCAGCATCTCACCCCCTTCCCGCTGGAGTGGCATAAAATAAATGCCTTACCTCGTGCCATTAGTGCCTGTCGGGCTGCGCCAGAGAGACCAGCTGTACGTCAAGCTGCACGGTGCTCAGCTTTGCCTTGCTTTTACTTAGCATTACCCTGGGACGTCATCTCCCAGCGGAGCACAGACCTGGCCCATGCTCCCCCTACCTGCTCCCACCCAAAGGTGGGGACGGGTCCTGCCTTTGGAGGACTATGGCCAAAAATGCCTCGTAGCAGAGGGGGCAGCCCCACGCCAGGCATCATGGCAGTGCATGGGAGCAGCTAGTCCCCACAACGGTACGGCACTGGCTAGGTACAGGGAGCGGGTGCCCATCCCCGCAGCTTCTGTTCTGCTCTCTGGCACCAGCCTCCCTCCACCTGCGCTGGAGGTGGGCTGGTGCCTTGCCGCTTCTTAGCATGGCAGCTGCAGCAGCTCGCTCTGAAGTTACCTGCTCACAGTCCTCTGCGCTATCCCTGGCCCTGACAGCAGTAACAAGGACAAAGCTTTTACATTGGCCTGAACGTGCAGAGTCTGTCTTTGCTTGCTTTAATAGAAAACCTTTCTCTGTGACGCTCCCATCACCAGCACAGAGCAGACAGGGACAAACGCGTGCCGCTCAGTAGTGCCACCAGGGTGAGGCCAAGGAGGGAGGGACAGTCCTCTGGACACCTGGACTGGGGACCAAGGCCTGGCACACCCACGTTTACACCGGCACGAGCACTGGCTGTTGGTGTAACCAGTCTCTCCCAGATACAACAGCCACTGCACATGTGCCTACCTCCACCCCAGCACTGTTTGCTCAAGCCCAAGGACACCGGTACAGCAGAGCAGCTGTGAGCGACCTGGTACAACGCTTCCCTTCTTGCCTAGAGCGGAGCTGCAGGAGGAGCGGCGTGGGCAAGGGGGTGCCGCAGGGGGAGCACCAAAATAAAGCCTCCTGCTGCGCACACCCAGGCTGTGGGATCGTTACTGGCTGGGAAGGTGCTCGCTCCAGGGCCCTGCTCTGACCTGGGCTCCCATCCACACAGACACCACCTTCCTCTTTCCCCTGCGATGGGTCCCTGCAGGCGTTGGTCCTCCCAGTTCAGGCCAGGCTGTGGCTCAGCGCGAGGCTGGGGTGCAGAAGCACAGCCCTTCTGCCTGTGGGACGCATGGTGGGGACAAGGACCTGCTCTTCCCCCTCAGTCACCAAACCCACCCCCCGCAAGAGCTGAAAGGTCAGCGCCCTTCTTCCTCCCGCAGCAGCCCTCCTCCCTCGGCTCCCACACAAGACCAGGAGTCTCCTTTATTTAAATAACCAAAGGTGTACTTTTTTTTTTTTTTTTAAAGCACATAACATTATTCTCAACCCAATTAAAAGTGAACAGCAGATAACTGCACACAGAGGCACTGCTCCCTCCTCCCAGGGAAGGATGCTGCAGGAGTCACTCTGTGGATGTGGTTATCCCCCCTAGGAGCCCTCCCAGGACCCTCCAGGGTTTAACCTCCATGGCAGCCCTTTATCTGCCGCTCTTACAGAGTGCTGGCGCGGTGCCCACCCTCCCACAGCGGCAGTTCTGACCCCTGAGTCTGTAGTGTAAGGCCCCTCCAATAAGGCCCCCGCCAGCACCAGCTCAGCCCCAGCGCTCCCTCCCTCGGGGACTGCTGGCTCTACGGGGACTCCCTGCCTTTCCCGGTTGAGGCTTTAACCCCAAAATGCCCCATGACCGCAATTCCACCAACACAGCCCCAGACAGGCTGCAAAAGCCAGCTGTGTCCGTTACCCGAGCAGCCCCAGGCAGTTTATCTCACGTTTATAGGCCCTGCACCATGACAGGAGAGCTAAAGCCTCCCAGTTAGAGGTGAGGGTTACTCCCTGGAACCATGGACCTGACCCAGCCTTGTTCTTCACAGAGGTCATCAACACTTCTGCAGCTCCCAGCGAGGGATCCAGGAGCCCTGCTGGTCCATCACCCCAAAGCACAGGGGAAACCCCTTTGTCTGAATGGGGGAAGGAGCTCATTTCCCCCAGAGGGAGAGCTGAAGCCTTCCGAGCCCCGTTACCGTTGTGGCTCACCTGCCCTATGACTCTGCAGGAGTTTTACAAGCCTTGCAGAGCAGCAGCTCCACTGAGGTCTGCACAAAGACACGTGGGACAGGCACCATCTTTCGGCCATTGCTGACCATGACAAGTAGCAAAACAAGCACGACATAGCCCTGTGCATCCCCAACGAGTACTGCAGGCACTACTGCGACAAGGTCAAACCATGGCAGGGAGGTGGCAGCACAGTTTCCCAACACCAAGGAAGCTCTGAGCCAACCCAGCTGCATGTCACACACAGAGAGTCCAGAGGTGTCCTATGTGAGGACAGTTTGGCCCAGGACTCGGACAGATCTGTGCAGTTTTTAAAATCAAGCTGGGGGCTCTGAATGGTAGAAAGAAGCACAGGGTTTCATTCAGAACATGACTAAACTGGCAAGGCTGGACAGCGTTCAGCTAAACTCTGCCCAGACCATATACATTGGCTTGGTCAGACTGCAGCTTCCCCTCCACTGCTGCACCCCTCAAAGAGCAAGGGCACTTGTTCAGACAAGGCAATCAAGCCCAGAGACATAAGGCTGACCGGCCCCACACATTCCGCTTCACAGCCCAGCTGAGGTTATTGGCCCTAGGTGCTTTCTTCAGAAATGAAAGACTTGGCTCAGGAGTGCCTGGGCAGCACAAAGCCCCAGCACAAGATGCTGCTGTGACCCAAAGGCGTCTCTCAAGGAGATGGGCCCTGCTGCAGAGACCGCCCGTGAGCTCCACCATGCCGGACAGCAGTGCTCCGGGCTGCCCAGGGAGGACGCCACACTCCCAGTGCTGCTGAAGAGCCAGAGTCTGGATTTTCACCTGATTCTCAGCCCTGTTTGAGCAGCACACCAGCTGCCTGAGCTGGAGGAACTCACCTCTCTGGTCATTAAGCCCTTTAGTAGCACAAGTTTGATGCCTGAGAAATTCAGAAAAAGGAGACATTTCATTGCAAGATAATGAACCCATAAGAGAAATCCACTCAACGGGGAACCTCAGCGCTGGCTTGATACCCCGTGTGTGCCAGTCCGTGGTGTTCCCAGAGTTAGAAGTCACTGCAGAGGAAGAGAAGTTCCTTCGGTATTTGGCAACAGACAGGTTCCTTCAGCCACCACCACACGGTGACGCCACTGAAGAAGCATCTAGGACAAGTCCTTCACCGCGCTTGGACGGCCAGACAGCCTGAACAGGGTCTCCCTCATGGTGCGGAAGCATTTGTCAGTGAGGTCAGAGACATCGTCTGATGTCAGGCCTTTGGTCTCTATTGGAGGCAGGACCTCAACCTTGATTTTGCCTGGGAACAAGAGAAGAACCTATGAGAAACCCACACAGCACAGGAGCACTGCTCTCTGCCCTCCCAGGACCCCTGCTCCCCCCACCCTGGACAGCCCCAGCACAGCCCTCATCCCCTCACAGGGCTTCAGGCATCCACCCCTGGAGCGCAGGCGGAGGCACAGCCCACACCAGGTGCTCCCTCCATCTGCTTCTGCCCAACGCTCCTACCTTTGGCTGGCTCCAGCCATCCACGCAGCATGGCAAGCATGGCTTCCTCCCAAAAAATGAGAGGTACTGCTCCAAGTTGACTGAAAGCCAACTTTCTGCCCAGCACTTGTACTGACAGACTTCAGAGCTTTGATACGACCAGCTTCCTCTGTTTGCCTGCAGAGGGGTCCCTGCTTTGAAATGTCAGGAGGCAGAGCACACTTCCTTCTTTCCCCAAGCCCTCACCAAATGACTTGGGCTGTGCCAGTTATGAGAGGGAAAGGTGGCATCCACTCTTTAATGAAAACATCCCTCACCATGTTTAATCATATTCTTTCCTGACTTAAGCCAGCCCAGGCTCTGGTGCCAAGTGCTTTAAACTGACTCCACACATATCCCAGAGGGACGACGCCTGTTCACCCCAGCTCTGCTTCTCTCTCACACCCTTGTGAACCAGATCTCCACATGGGTATGGCATCAACCCTGTCTCCAAGTGACTGTAAAGGCCCTCAGGACCTTTGGTACCTGATGTAAACAGATTCTTCTTTGGGTTATAGAAGGAGGTGAAGGAGGAATACACCACAGGGATCACTGGCACCTTGGGGAAGAAGAGGAAAAAGGAGTTACTTGCACTGCAGCAACTCAGGACAGGCCAGATAAAAGCAGCAGATCCCACGCAGCAGAGCTGACCTGGCCTGGCTCTCAGCTGTACAGGGCACACACAGTCCCACAAGCAAGACCCACTTCCAAAGGCTGGGACAGTCAGGAGTCAAATGGGATCGAAACCACTCCCCAGCAACTCAAGGCACAGGGACATTCGAGGCACTAGGGCCAAGTTACACTTCAGCCTCAGGTCAGCACCGGCCCTCAGGGCTCCTTGTCCCAAGCCAGGCTTCAAAACTCAGGTATTTTCCGACACGCAAACATTGAGGATGCCTGTTTTGACAGGCCTTGCCATGCCGTACAAGCACACGCTTGGGGCAGGCCAGGTGGTGTGCCTTCAGCTTCTAAGAAAAGGAGTCACCAGTTGCAATCAATTGCTCCCAGGGAAGCTTCAGACAGGCAGACACACAGCCAGGAGGGCAGGTACAGAGTCATTATTTCAGTGCTGATAACAGACACAGTCTCCAGTCAGTAACTCAGGGGGAGTGTTAGCAGAGGTGGGTGCCACTTCCACTGTCATCCTTTCCTCCTAGCAGCCGCCAGCCCCTGCCTTGGTTGCATCACTCCGGCAGGAATAGGGATGGTACAAGGCAGGCTACACCCTGGGCTTGCCCAGCTGAACCCCGCAAGAGCTGGCACCTACTCCCTTCTCCAGGATCCCTGCTATAATACCTATTTTAGGGAAAGCAGTTTCCCCTCAGGCCTCCAGTCATCCCAGTCCTGAGAGGCAAGGCAGAGCATGCATGGGAAGGCAAGGCACCCATCTCCTCCCAGCTGCCTCTCCAGCACCTAGTCCCCAGCACCTGGGAGCCGAGCAGGGTGGCTCAGCTTCCAGCAACCCCCAGGCACAGGCGGCACAGCCAGGTCTTCAG